AGCTGACCCCAACCGACCAAAGGGATAGTCCACACCATATGATGTCATGCTCAGCACATAAAGCTGGGGGAAGAAGAAGGAAGGGACACACACACACACACACACACACACACACACACACACACACACACACACACACACACACACACACACACACACACACACACACACACACACACACACACACACACACACACACACACACACACACACACACACACACACACACACACACACACACACACACACACACACACACACACACACACACACACACACACACACACACACACACACACACACACACACACACACACGTTCTGAGTGATGGCGTTTGTCTTCCCAAGTAACCATTGCGCGTGATGGACCCCTGCTTTCCCGGAGATGGCTGAACACCTGCCTGCCCATGGGAAGTAGCGAATGAATTCCTTGTTTTGTTTTGCTTGCACATGCGGCCTTTGCTTTACTTATTAAACTGTCTTCATCTCAACCTATGGGTTTTCTCATTTTTATTCTTCTGATCCTCTCCCCCATCCCACCCGGGGAGAGTGAGTGAGTGGCTGTGTGGTGCTTAGTTGCCGGCTGGGGTTAAACCACGATACCAATGACCTCATGGGTGAGGTCAGGGCTTTTATTCCTCTTTTCCCTCTCCAAGCACACAGAAGCAGCCTGGCCCCCGGCGCTGCCCAGATCCCTTCCCGGAGGTGTCGTGGTGCCCAGGAGCCACGCCAGTGCCAAATGGCACCAAGCATTGTCAGCTGGCACTGAGCCGGGCACCGCTGGGCATGCCCGTCCTGGCCATGTCCCCCTCTGCTCCCTCTTTTTGGGGCTGCCTTGCAAAGCCAGCTCCTTTTGCTATCACCCCCGCGGGGCCGAGCAGGCTCAGGGGCGATGCCTGGACAGCCAGAGGCTGCCGGCTTCACACCTCTTCCCGGCTGCAGGGTTTATCCGGGACAGGGCAGGCACTTTCTGTGGTGCTGAGTTTTTGCAATAACTGCAACCACTGGCTTTGTTCCCCCCCCTGCGCCTGCTGGGGAAACTGGAAGGACCAGTTTCTCCTCCCGGATGCGATTCCTCCCCACCGACCTTTCCGGCTCTCAGCTCTCCTGGCAGCCAAAGGGCAGCAGTGGGGCAGCAGGGGGTAAGCCAGGCTGGTTCAGCCTCCCCTGTGCTCCTGCTGTGCCCCTGCCCTCCACTTCCCACTGCCCAGGCACTGCTGAAGCTCCTGGGCTCCCCAGGGGAGATCCCATCCCAGCTGGTACCCCAGCAGCCCCAGGACGCACCCAGCCCACCGCCCTGTCCCCACCAACCCACGTGGGTGCCACCAGGCATCTCTGCACCTTGTAACCCTTAGACTTGCCTGATTCCCCCAGACTGGGACCCTGGGGTGCCTAGCGGCACCCCAAAAACTGACAGTTGTGCTGTCAGTGTGTGAGGCCAAAACGTCCCCAGGGGCACGTGGTAGCAAACAGAAACTTCCTTATTGTCCCTGAGAAGGCATCCTTGGGCTCAAGGTGCTTGAGCAGATGACATGACAGGGTGTGTGTGCCAGGGTGGGGGTTCCTCTTTTCCACCCCTGACACAGGGTGGGGGAGATCAGGAGGGTAAAGTCTCCCTGGCAGGGACTGCAGGCAAGCTGGCAGCACCCTGCCACTTCCCAGAGCCCGTTTCACTGCTGTCTCTGGCCACGCACCCTCTGGTGCTCCCCGGTCCATGGGTTGTGCCCTGCTCCACTCCACCGTGGGCAATGACCCCCTGTGTGGGTGCCGACCAGCCTGGCCAGCTGGCGTGGGCAGAAACCCTCTGGGATGAGCAGGCCTGGCAGGAGCGAAGGGAAGGGTGGCTGAGCCCTGGGGCAGACTTTGCTTTTCTCCCGAGTCGGGTTTGCCCCTCCCCTGGCTGAGGAGGTGAGGAGGATGGTGGGGAGAGACCCGGTTGTGCTGGGGAACGCTGGGCAGCAGAGCCGGGGTCACCGGCAGGGCTGGGCTCAGCAAACGGGTGGTGTTTGGTCCCTGTGCTCTGGGTTTTGCTCTGTACAGGGCAACAGGGGTGCACGCAAACCCCTGCCCACCCAGAGCCCCTGGGAGTGGTGTGGCATCTCCGGCCTAATCCCATCTGCTGAGGCCCTACAAGCCCCCATGCGATGGGGACCAGCCCAATGTCACTGTATTTCCCCCTCCTGCAGCAGCCTTGTACCTTCTCCCTGTGGGAATCAGCCACTTTTGGAGCCCACGTGGGAAATTTCCCCCTGCTAGGGGAGCGGGGTGGCTCAAGGCTGAGCTGCTCCCTCGGCGGCAATAAGGAAGAGGTTGGTGCGTGGGCTGGAGGCTGGGCTGGGTGGGGTGGATCCGGGACCCGGGCAGCCTCCTGCTGTGTGTTTAGCATCCCAGTGGGCACAAGGTGGGGAAAATGAGGGGCTGGAGCCCCCGGCCATATGGGGAAGGCAGATACCTGAAGAGCTGCCTTTCACCCTGGCAGTCCCATGGGGTGCTGGCTCATGTGTTGCCCCGTCATGATGGGTGCCACGCATGGGCCGAAGTCCCAGGAGATTTGCATCACCTGCCGTGGGGCACAATGGGCAAAACCCTGCGTGGCAGAGGGGTGTGTGCTGGCAGGGAACGGGCAGCACTCAGCACTTTAGGAAACGAGCTGCCCCCTCCCTCCTGGGAATTAGCTTTGGTGGGGGACAGGGTCATCATGAGCAGGAGGAGGAATGGCAGCTCTTCAGGTTTGTGCTGATAAAGGGAGTGAATGGGAAGCAAAAGCAAACTCATCTGGCATGAGCTGCCCAAGGAGTGCCTGCTGCAGGGTATTTCCCCCCGCGTGCCGCAATAGCCTGGCCAGGACGTTCCTGGATCTGGGAGGACAGGACGTCCTTGAAGGGCACAGGCTGGCCTGGAGGAAGAAGCGAGGTGATACATCCTTTCCCCAGCACAGCCTTCCTCCTTCTCCTCCTCCTCCTCCATGACCCAGAGATAAACCATCCTGTGTGCCCACCCAGCCCCAAGGGTGCTTTCTGGGCAGCTCTGTGCTCCGGTTATTTGTCAGGATATCAGAGGAGGTGATGGAAGGGCTATTCAA